AAATATGACAAACATCAATTGCTTCAGCTCCAATGGCCACGCGTTTGCCTTGATTCATGAAGGCACAACCCTGCAACACCACTAAATCAAACAGACGGTAAACCATGGGGACAAGGATCGGTAATGGTGTGGGGATGTGTGACATGTGCGGGAGTGGGGTTCATACGCAAGATTGACAGACGCATGGAGAGGCCTGTATATGAGGGCATTTTGCATGACGAACTCGAATTGACCCTCCATTTCTATAGCATTTTTCCCTTTGAGGTCATATCGGTGTGGACAATGGCCCCAAGAATTTGTTATGCCTAGTGCATGAATGACTTGGAGAACATGAAAATGTAGCATTGGAGTGGCCTTATTTCTCATCAAACCTCAACCTCTGGGCATACCTGAAAAGGGAGCTAGCCAACCATAAAAGGCCTTCCTCTGGAATGCTGGAGCTTTAAGAGCTGGTCCAGGAAGAATGGGAGAAGATCCATGCCGAGGTTTGCTCTAGCCTCATCAACAGCTCGCCTAGGAGGGTGCGGGCGGTGATCAAGGCCAAAGGTCAGTGGGCTAGGAACTAGAAACACACTTTTGAAGTTTGCTCTCTCTGCTTGGAACTATTTGTCTGGATGTACTTTTTGTATATCTTTTGGGATATGAGTTAGATCCAATGTACCATTCTAGATATTTGTGCTATGAACACATCCCTTGTGTGCCTTTCCCAAATCGTACCACCATTAAACATTAAGGCTTAATGTATAGTGGTCTTAAAACCTAAAAACCCAAAATAATGCAAAACATACAGACAATTGTTTCCGCCACTGTATGTCTTTTGGGATATGAGTTGGATCCGATGTACTATTCTGGATATTTGTGCTGTGAACACATCCACTATGTGCCCTCCAAAATCCTACCACCATAAAATATTAAGGCTTAATGTATAGTGGTCTTAAAGCCTAAAAACCAAAATATTGCAAAACATACGAACAGTTGTTTCCGCCACTGTTATAGGTACCCCCACCATCAACGGAAACGGAGGCCAGCACCCCTGGGTGTGTATTAATTGTTTTTCCACCGGTCGTCGAAAGCGTTAACTGTCATGAGCTAAAGGAGTGGAAGAAGAATGACGGAAGTACTGGAGTAGATGGGTTAGCGACGTTCTGGCTGCTACTCGCTCAGCTACGTTGCCCGGAAATCACCATTCCCACTAGATAGCAGTGTCGACTTATTAATCGACGGCTTCTGGTTGAATAGGGGGGGTGAATCTGCTAATTATACTGTGCTGATGGAGTGTCCCCGAAAATTCATGAGTTACTGTTGCAGTGGAGCTGGAGTTTTCACATGGTGCAGCAGCAGGAGGTTCTGACTTTTGCGGGTGTAGTTTGACGAGTTTCCGACGGAGGAGGGAGCTGTCCAACGGTCGGTAGGCGAGCTCGTTAAAGCTCCTCTGACTAGAAGCGTACGCACTCCTATCTTTGCGGATTCTCCTAGTTAGTTAAGCAGCAACGAAGCGATTTTGGGTAACCTGTAGCCGCCGCGAGATGGGTGAACGTTTGCGCAGCCAGCTGGCAGGGGTATCAGAGTATTTTAGAGTTGAGTAACATGTGGGCGGAGATCGACGGTGTATGATGCGCATTGACCCTTATCGACGGCCAAAACATCATGCCGAGGCGGTGGACTACGGTAAACTCTAATATAAAGGGTTCAGTTAATGCGTACAGCTGGTGGAGAAACCGTGGGGGCGCTGCTAAAGGACGCCGTAACGCCTGGACATGACCCAAGTTTCTGTTCCATGTATTTTCTATGGAGCTGTTCATAACAGGTTACAGGTCGTCGTCACCGTCGCTAGCCTCTCGCCACCACCCGATACCACCTACATTTTCAATTCGCCTGATTGTGTGAACACGACCCCGCCTCGTCATCCTAATCGAGAGCAGCAGTATCGAAACGAGAAGATTTTGCAGCAGTGCTGTTGGAGCTTTTGTTGGGACCAGCCCGCAAGCAGTGGTTGCCCTTTGAAGAATTTTGAAGTTCGTGTTGAGTCTTCTGGAGCAGTAGTTGCGGCATTTTAAGACCTTGGACAAGGTTTACCCTGAAGACAATTTACCTGGAGTGGATTTTGGAGTATCGTTTGGATTCTTCCACGGCATCTTCGAAGCTGAGTTTTCCTGGAATTTACGTAGCAGTATGGGTTTTGCAGAAGTAGAGGAAGTACAGCGACGGAAAGTATTGCTCGGATAAAGTCCAATTTTAGGTTCAGCACATGATTTGAATGCTTTCACCCGATGTATCATTGAATGTTCATTGCTGACTTGTAAGTTACGCGTGCCAGTTACAATAGGGTAACACGATTGCAATTTGAATGGGTCGCACTAATAGCGTGGACAAGATTTCAGTCGCGTGAGTGCATCCGGACAGTTTTGGCCAAGCAGCGGACTAGATCCGTTTTCGACAAGCGCATTCTCTCCATAGTTCCTAACGCAATCGTCGAGTAGTCAGAATAGAGTTTATACCCGAGGCGTAGACTACGCCAAGATGAGACCGATAGATGAGGCTCGTCGCGCCCGGATCGTGGCCCTGTTGCGTAGGGGGTTCAGCACGAGGCAAATCGCGAAACAGGTTGGCGTAGGGAAAAGTACAGTACATGATGTCGGGCTCAAGGCGATTTCAGAGACTAGTCCCGAGGACGTACGTCCTACAATGCCCACTGTTGGTCGTCCACGCGTACTGACGAGTAGAATTCGTCGTGGGATCGTCAGGGCGATCACTAGCGGCGAGGCGAAAACCTCGAGGCATGCGGCCCAAATCGTCGAATCCCAGCACGGCATCACGGTGCATCCTAGGACGGTGCGTAATGCGCTCAAATCCAGCGGCCTTATCGCAGTTCAGCAGCCTAAGAAGCCGCGACTCTCCAAGAAAAATATCCGCGATAGGCTGGCGTTCGCACGGGCCCACGTGGATTGGACCATAGATGATTGGCGACGGGTCATATGGTCGGATGAGACGAGGATTAGTAGGTTCGGCTCTGACGGCCGCGCGTACGCCTGGGTTCGTGAAGGTACGACTCTCCAACACCACCAGATCAAGCAAACCGTCAAACACGGGGGCGGCGGCTTGATGCTCTGGGGATGTATGACGTTTGAGGGGGCGGGTTTCATGTGCAAAATCGATGGTCGGATGGATGGGCCGCTGTATCTGAGCATTTTGCAAGACGAGCTGAAAAAAACCATCGACTTTTACAAGCTAACCCCCTCGGCTGTGATCTTCCAGCATGATAACGACCCCAAGCATAAGTCCCGTGTGGTGCAGTAGTGGCTTCAGGAGCAGGAGTATGGGGTCCTGGAGTGGCCGGCAGGAAGTCCTGATCTAAACCCCATTGAGCATCTGTGGGCTCATCTTAAAAGGGAGCTGGGAAAGCATGAGACACCTCCCTCTGGTATGGTGGACCTGTGGGAGCGTGTACAAGAGGAGTGGGAGAAGATCCCATCAGAGGTGTGCTCCAATTTGATCGACAGCATGCCCAGGAGGGTGAAAGCAGTGATTAGGGCTGAAGGGCGGTGGACCAGGTACTAGTTTAGGGTTTTTCAAGTTGCTGCTTCCGCCTGGAAATAATTGTCCACATGCACCGTGTTTGGTTATGTTGCTGTTTACTGTTAACGATAGTAGTTTCATCAAATGTGTACCATTTTTATGTCTCCCTAGATTGGCTTGCATATAGTGGGTAATGCCTCCAATTAAGGCTAGGTGTTTCTTCTTGGAAGGGGGGAGAAGGGCAGCTGTGCTGCAAATTTCCGGCGTGTTCCATCATCCACTTTCGACCGACATTCGTCATCGTTACGCTTCCGCACCTGCTTTCGTCACTTCGTTGATGGAGTTTGCTGACTTTCGTGGGACACGAACGCGTGCTCTCGCATGTGACACGGACGAACTCGCGCGTTGATAAACAGGTCCTCGTCATCCGACAATCCACATCATTCGACAGTCATCATTACTCGGGATATTCATCATGCAAGCGTCATCATCAATCGACCACTAAACATATTTACTGTTTACATTCGTCCGCTGGAGCCTCCTATTCACGAGCCAGCTGCACCTGCAGCGGCGGTGGCAGCTTCGACGACGGCGACGCTGCGAAGCCCACGGCACTCGGCGGCGTGGCACGGTCCGGCGACGACGGGGAAGGGAGTCATCAGCTGCGGTTGGGATGCGTGGAGACGCAGGGGTGGGGGCGTGCCTTCAGCAAGGCGGCCTGGCTAGCGCGCTGGCTGGCGTGTGGGCGTGCTGGCTGGCGCTTAAAACAGTGTGCTGGCCGCAGCCATCCGTGCGCTGGCACATCGAAGCCGCCACAACAGCACGACGACGCCACAGCAGCACGACGAGGCCGCCGCGGCAGCGCGTCGAGGCCGTCACAGCTGTTCGACGAGGTCGACATGCGTCGAGGCCGCCACGGCAGCGCGTCGAGGCCGTCACAGCTGTTCGACGAGGTCGACATGCGTCGAGGCCGCCACGGCAGCACATGGAGGCCACCACGGCGGCACGATAGTGAGAGGAGAGGAGAGAGTACGCGGCGGAAGCGTGAACAGGAGGCTCAGCAGGATCTTACAGTCACAGGGCTGAAGGCTTACAGTCACTTTGGGGATTACATCAGATAAAAGGTTCGACCTCGATGAAGAGAGTGCCTTCCTTTCGAAGGTGGGAGAGTGTAAGGAATTCCGATTCCTTCCTGGGGCTCGCCACAGCGAGTACACGCGAACCTATTGCGTCCGCAGGCTCCGCCCTTGGTTCTCGTGCCAAACCAGCCCCCGACGACCTTTTCGGCCCCAAACCTCTTCCTGAGTCGCCTCGAACCCATTTTGATCCCGTCACCCCCGGGACTAACCAGCCCTTGACTGGTCCAAACCTCGACATTCAACCCTGGTCAATCGCACTATATAAGCCCTAGGTCTCATTTGGATAGGACACTATATAACATTCTGTAATCACGTCCCCTATAGTATTCTGCGCTAGTTATAATCCATAACAGTGTTGATTTATTTCTGACGACGTTCCAAAATGAACTTCGAGAAAATTACAAACGGAAGTAAAATTGATTTGATAAATTAACTGTTTGAGTGGGACAGCACTTTCAGAAAGCATTGCTCATGTCTACCGCGCAACTCCAGCTGCCTCACAGCATTTGCCTCACACCATCTGCATTGCACCAACTCCCCACAGCAGCTGTCTGGACCAAACACCCATGTGGTACCAGTACCATGTGGGCCATCGCAGCAGCCTTGCAACGACTGATTCACAGCAACTGCCTGACGCCAAACACTCCTGCGGTCACTAGAAGGCCGAGCAAACCAAATGTGCCCCACATGCCCTGCACTCGGTTGCGCGGGTTGCCGGTGTAGTAGCTGATGCAGGGGGGTGGGAGGACAATGGAGAGGGGGAGAAGGGGGTGCAGGACAGAGAGAGGGAGAGCGAGAGGGTGTGTAGTGTGAGATCACAGCAGTCAAATGTGCCACACATGCCTTGCGCTTGGTTGCGAGGGTTGCTGGTGTAATAGCCGGTGCTGTGGGTTAGGAAAGCATATGGAGTGCGTGATGCAGTGAGTACGTGCTATGGGGTTGGTTGGAAAGGGAGGGGGGAAGGAAGAGAGGGGTTGGGGCGGGGGGGGGGGGGGGGGGGGGGGGGGGTTGGCGAACAAAGTTGTCTTTGAGGCACCTGAACAAAGGGTGCAGAAAAATGGTTAAGTTGAAGAGAATGGAGAAAGGAAGGAGAGAAGTGTAACGAAAGTTGAAATCGGTGAGATGAGAGGTACTTGCGGAGTGAGTGGGATCGATACGCATGACAATAGAAAGTGGGCACTTGGGAAGAATTGGGTGTAGAGGGTGCAAGAGGAAGCGTGCTAGCGAAATACAAGGAGAGAGTGTGTGCACGGAATGAGTGAGGGGGGAGAGTGAGACGAAGAGCGCGAGTGAGTGAGCGGCAGAGAACTAACCCGAGGGAGTAGAAGACACGGCCAATAACCCAGACCATCCCACAACTGCAAGCAGCAAGAGGAGGGGAGGGAGAGGAGGGGAGGATGGGACCAAGTGAACAGCACTCTAGGGAAGCAGCAAACACTCGCCCAACCAGCCACCCACACCATCCCACACCTGCATGCAGGGGAGACGAGGGAAGGAAGGGAGGTGGACAGAGGGGGGACGGGAGGAAAGGAGTCATGATGTTGAGGATTGACGGATAGGAGGAAGGGGGGGTGATGACACGGGAACAGTAGGAAGGCAGGACGGAGGGAGAGGACACAAGGGGAGAGAGAAAGGTGGGATAGAAGGAATGGTGAACAATGGGGACAAGGAGGAGAGAGGAATGAAGGGCCTTGCAAAGGGACGAGGGAAAGAGGGAGAGAGGGAAAGAGGGAGAGAGGGAGAGAGGGAGAGAGGGAGAGAGGGAAAGAGGGAAGGAGGGAGAGATATACGAAGGAACCAAAGAGAAGAAGGACCGAAATGGGAGGTGAGGGGTGGGACTGAGGAGGCAAAGGGGAGGAAAGGACAACGACAGAAACAAAGTGGGAGAAGAGACACAATGGGATAGAAAAGGAGACAGGAGGATGGTGCGACATGAGGATAGTGCGACATGAGGATGCTGCGACATGAGGATGCTGCGACATGAGGATGGTGCGACATGAGGATAGTGGGACATCAGGATGGTGCGAGGCAAAGCCGGAAAGGAGAGGGAGAGAGGGGCCTTAACATTCGGTGCTCCAGAAGCATGGAGTGTGGAAAGCATAGAGTGTGGAAAGCATAGAGTAGAGATGAAAAAATACGGTTTTTGAAAAATACGGTCCATATTACTCGACCGTGTTTTTCGGGGATCTTGGGGAAAAAAACGCCGTTTTTTAAATAGAGGGTCTAAAAAAAAATCTTTCAAAATTTTGGCAGACAGCCGAATCATCCGCTAGGTCCGCACCTTTCCTCCGCCCAAATGCGGGATCCACAAATTCCGACGGGCGAAATGCCAGATCAGCGTATTTCGGCTGACGAAACATCAGATCCATGCATTTCGTCCGCCAAAAACACAAGCTCTGGCAAATTTTGGCGGGCAAAATGCCAGTTCCACACATTTCGTCGGATTGTTCTGCACATTTTTTGAAAATTTCGGTCGTATTTTTGAACCAGCCTATTTTTGCACAATTTTCACCGTTTTTTTCGTATTAAACGGCCGTTTTAATCGATACCGTTCTCTACGGTAAAAAAATGAAAAAAAAAACGGCGTATTTTTTAACCTTGGAAAGCGGTGGAAGGGGATGGGGTAGGCATAGCCGGAGATGGGTAGGAGAGTGAGGAGCATGGGGTAGCTCTCAAGGGCGATGGCTTGGGAAGAGAGCGACAGGTGCTTGGGAGAGTGGAAGAGGGAGCTTGGGAGATTGAAAGAGGGAGCTTGGGAGAGTGGAAGAGGGAGCTTGGGAGATTGGAAGAGGGAGCTTGGGAGAGTGGAAGAGGGGGCTCGACTTACGCGGAGGCAGTTATCGGGTAGGCATAGCCGGAGATGAGGAGGAGGGAGAGGAAGGCGGGGTAGCTCTCAAGGGTGTTCTGGTGGGCGCGCTGGTAGCAGTTGAACAGGCTGTCCTCCTTGTCTTCGTACATCTGAAGAGACAGGGGCGCAGAGCGGTGAAACACAGTGAAGAGTGGTGGTTCATGGATGGGAGGCAACAAGGCACAGGGAATATTTGAAGAGGCTGCCCTCTTTGTCCTCGAATATCTGAAGAGACAGGGGTGCAGAGCGGTGAACAGGGTTGTGATAAGAGGGGGAAAGGGGGAGAGCCCAAGGGCGCTGGTAGCAGCTGAACAGGCCGTCCACCTTGTCCTCGTACATCTGGAGAGACAGCGGTGCAAAGCGGTGGAAAAGGGGTGTGGAGGGAAAGCTGAAGAGTGCTTTGATGGGTGCACAGGTGACAGGTGAGTCAGCAATCCTCCTTGTCCTCGTACATCTGAAGAGAAAGAGGTGCAGAGCAGTGAAACACGGTGAAACGAGGTAAACAGGCGGTGAGAAAGGGAGGGAGGCAAGAGCAACGGTAGCAGTTGAACAGGCGGCCCTCCCTGTCATGTCAGGGTTCAACTGCAGGCAGGCAGAGCGGTGCAGAGCAGTGACAAGGGGTGCAACGGGGTGAACGGAGAAGCAACAAGGAGTGGAAACGAGAGCAAGCAGGAACAGTGGGAGCAGGCTGTCTTTTGTGCTTGGAAGCGTGCAATCACAGGGGTGCAGAGCCGTTGAAAACGGTGAGACGGGGTGTGACAAGGTATGAAGAGGAGGGCGGCAAGAGAATCGCCGTAGAAGTCAGCGTCCTTCCAGCAAACAAGTTGCTTCCTCGTGCGCGTGCGTGTATGAGAGGAAACTCATGTATCAGTATGAGAGTAAGTGCGTGTTACTTCCTCGTGCGTTCCACATGACATACAAAAGGCACACTTTTACCAAATAAGGTCATTCTCCTCATCGAGTTACACCTGGGATCAAAATCGTCCTAAGTTACCCCCTGGCATCATTTTCTTCCTACAGGCGCACCTTGGGGTAAGGCAGGTTGCTGGCCCTCCGTTGCTTCGCCACCTGCCACGTCAGCACGCACAGTTAAGAAGGGCGGCAAAGAGCCCAAGGGGTCAAAAGATTCAAAGGAGGTCAGCTGAACCAGCAAGTGGTTTGTGATGGATGAGGAAGCGAATGGGGGATGTAAAAGCACAAGCGGGTGCACAATGACAAAAAAGTTGTAACCGAGTCAGCTGAACCAGCGGGTGCGCATAGATTGGTGCATACTGTGGAAGAAAGTGAAAGGGGGTGTGAAAGGCAGAGCGCGCAAGCGAGTCAAGCGAGTCAAGCGAGTCAACTGAGTGAATCAGCAAGTGCGCGGTTAGAAGGAAGCAGGGGAAGGCACCAGGGAAGAGCAGCAGAGGAAGGTGAGGAGTAACAGATAACTCTACTGCAGTAACAGGCAGGCTCGACAGCATATCGGGGTGAACAGTACTATGTCACATATTTGGGAGGGGGTTAGCCACGCTGCGTGGTACAGCGCACTGATCTGACACTGTCCGCCCATCGCCGTCACCGTTGCCGTCACCTTCACGAACTCCGTTAACGTCACCGTTAACGGGTCCGCTGCCGTCGCTGCTCGGCGGGCTCCCTGCTAGCCTACCCGGACGGTGACATTACAGAGTTGTCTGCTACAATAACGACATAGTGTAACCAGATCCGTTACACTCTGCAACTCGAGCATCTGCCATTGCGCCAGCACAGCGCTAGCAGCGGCGGTCAGCACCACCAATCAGTCCGCATACCCGATATAGTGCAGCCCTAGAAGACCCCTGTACCTCGATCATCTGCCATTGCGTCAGCACGGCGCTAGCAGCGGCGGTCAGCACCACCAGCCCGAACTCCTTGGGAAGCGCCTCAACCACCACAGCGCGCGCAACCCCCGGCAGCGGGGAGGCGGCGGAAGCGGGCTTCCGCGACCACACCGTGCTGGCGCTCCGCAGCTGCAGCGGGCAGGCGGAAGCAAGACCGTGGCGGGGTAGGCGTGCGGTGATCGCGGAACGGGCTCCCCCCGGTGCGCTGGCGCGGGGAAGGGCGAGGGCCGCGGTGGAGGAAGCTGCAAGGGAGGCCATGGCGTAGGCGTTTTTGGCGGTGTCTTACGGTCTGTGGAGAAATGGCGGTAAGTCTAGTGAGTATGGAAAAAAAGTTTGTACAATGCAGTTTGGTCAGGAAGTTCTTGTTATAATGATTTTTTTATTACTTTGCATGGCCTATTATGGTAGCTTTTGACTTCACTGAACCTTTATCAAGCATAGGAAGACAAAGGAATTATTACCACACTGCTAACACGTTAAAATCATATATATGGCTAACACATGATCTCTTTAGAAGTGCAATTCAATAATATTTTATTGGGGTAATGAAATTGTATTTCCTCAACCGAGGTTTAGCTTGGTAAAACGTTCACCACCAGGCCCTCAGAATTCAGGCCAAAATGGCCTGAAAGCAGGCCCCCAGAAGTCAGGACAATTTTCCTGATTCAGGAAAAAAACAGGATGTTGAGTGGTACTAGATCTGATTTGCTAGGGTTTTTTTTTTGGCATTTCCTGAATTTTCAGGGTTTTTTTGTAAGGGATATCTGTCAGGTCAGTTTTTTTTTGTAATGGATCCTGAAATTTCAGACTTGTATCGAGCATGGGTTCTGATTTTGTCAAAGGCGTGATTTGCGGGTCCCCCCCAGAATTATAGCGATATGCGCATATTCCCCCACAAAGCTGGCCTGACTGCCAGGTTCCCGCCTGCAGACATCGTTTGCTGAGTCACATGTTGCCGCGCTGCCTCACGGCATTGGTCCTTCTCAAAGTGTCGGCCAGCACACAGCTTGGCTGCATGCATGGATTGGTTGCCTTTGTAAATGCTGCCTGAATAGCCCATCACGTGTACGCCAGCGATGATGACCCAGCATCAACACCACACTCCGGTTCGACGCCGACGCGCATGCGCCGCGCTAGTTTCGGTCCAGATTCAGGAATACAGGAAGACAACTGTGCGTGGCTGGCAAAGTGTTCGCGCCTCGCCATCGTTCCCTTTCCCCCCTACGTCTTCTTCATCTGTTTCTTCCCACGGTAGAAACAGCCACTGCGTTAGCCTCTCCCAGCGTGACCTTCCCCTTGCAGTGTTGTTGCTTTACCACCACTTTGTCGCATGTCTCTGCTCGTCGACCACCCTAGTGAGCCCCGTCCACATGCCTGAGTCAGGCGACGTGGAATTGGACGACGATGGCGACGACAGCGGCAGTTACAGTGCCGAAGCCCGCACTGGGCTTGACATGCTCCTTTCGACGCTAGGTAGTTTTCCAAAGACTCCTCGTAACCCTCCGATGGAACAGAACCCCCTATGCGCCTCGCAGTCGGTCGCCTAAACTTCTCAAGGTGTTGTAGAGCCGACTTCCGCGCCTATTCCAAGCCCATCCCAGGCTAATGCTTTTACCTGTAGTCCAGGTTCCGCCATCCCCGAGAAACCTGGCGGTCGATACCGGCAATCCACCCTGTGGAATTTCCCACGCGGTCAGCCGACGACGCCCCGCCCCTCAGCCATGTGCGAAGATGACGACATCGATGGCGACGACACTACCGCTGCACCCGACAAGTTTCGATCGCGTGAGGATGTCTACGACGAAGCCCTCAGCAGGTTTAATACGCGGTGGTCCGAGCGGTTTCCCTAGCTTATGATCGTTAAGACTGACGATGGATTCCCAGTGTTTAAATGCAGTCTGTGCCTTGAGCATGCAGGACTCAGAGGGAAAGCCGACAAACGTGGCGCAGGGCTGACGGACGTGCAGTCGCAGGCATTCAACAGGCACGCGGGGTCAGCCAAGCATCGCCTAGCCGTGACAAAGCAGCAGGCGCTGCTGCAGGACGCAACCAACCAGATGCGGATCGACCAGCTTCCTCAAGCCGCAGACCTGGAGAAGGAACGTGTGACTGCGCTGCTTGACGCGCTCTACTTCTGCTGCAAAGGCAACGAGCCGATGGAAAACTGGATCAGGCTCGTGCGCTACCTCAGCAAACATCGGCACGAGGACTTCCCCGAGCAGACCTATGGCACGTACTACAACAGGTATTCTTGTGTGTTGTATGAATTGTTTTGCATGCATCTATCATGCATACTTCAGTTATCTGTATACTTCAGTTAATGTTCATATTTCAGCACACTAATTATCTGTATGTCCTTGGCTACTGCAGCCCTGCAGATAAGTGAGCCTACGGATGCCATGGCTTAACCAGCAGCTACACTCGACGCTCTACGACCACAGCATGGGTTGCAGCCCACTCCTTGCACGACTTGCGTCCTGTCGAGTAAGAGGGCTCAGGAATTTGGGCCTCAACGTCGTCAGAAACATATTTATCGTTGATGGCGTTCTCGACAGCATCCCCACTTGTCGCACACTCGGGCCAGTCCTCCTAACAGTAACGCAGGGCCAGAGGAAGGTTGGGCCGGTTACAGGAGGCATCGCTCTAGGCGTGCTTGAAACGTAGAGTCACGCCTGGATGCCACGCCATGGCGGCGGCCGTAGGAACTGGCGTAGATACTCGCATAAGACTTGCCCGAGCAGGAGGCTCAGGGGACGTAACTTCGAGAGGCGAGAGCACGTGCGGCTTGTTGGATTGCTCGCAGAAGGATTTCATGTTTCTCGAAGAGAGACGTGAAAGGGAATCACGTCTCCGTCTCCCCTTCGCTAGTTCGATGCCTCGAGAGTCTTCACCCGAGAGCTGTAAATGCTGCCACCACCACCTCTTCTCATTTGTTGATACTCGGAATAGAGTGCCAGCGTGTCCAAAACCCAACCCACAACTGCCGAGCTGGAATTCGTGGTTGCAGAGCCGTGAATATATCAACATCCTCGACAGAAAGAATGCATTTCGAATTTGACGCAGGAACACACTTTTAGAAATCAAATCCCTTGAAATACGAGATAGGTCATGGGTAATTTATTTTCAGGTTTCCTTACTCGACCCACCTCCCTTTTTCACCAGTATACGAAAAAATACCCTAGGGTCATATATTCGGGCGTTTACGGTACTACAATCATGTTCCGATGAGCCCAGTGCAACTTCTGCAACGATAGTAACACACAAAAGGCCTCTGGTGCGCAGTGTGGCAAGGTGTGCATGTTAACGTTCATATATATGTTAGGTAATATAGGAACTATAGCTTAGCTAGGGTTCAGACTTACACAGGGTACAATTGTTGGATAAACCCAACTGTTTTGGCTTGCATAGTCATACTTTCTCTCGACATGGTATAGAGCTAGGCGCTCCTAGTCGTCACGCTTCCGCCCTAGGTGCTCTCCACTCCCCTCCCACCCTAGCTTACCTCCTTAGTCTTTGCTAGAACTTGGGCTTTTCCCCTAGCTTGCACACCTCCATGCCCTCGAGGCACACAACAAGGCTGCCTGCCCCGAGCCACAGCCACAGCAGCATCAGCGGACGCAGCAGCTGGCACAGCAGCGGTAGCAATAGTAGCAACACCAGCGTAGCAGCAGCAGTGGCAGCCACCGCGGTGGGGACTTGGGGGTGTTGGGCACAGTGGCGGCCCTGCAGGTTGGGCCCTGAGGCTGTCGCAGCCTTGGGGCCCGCGTGGTTTCTCTAGAGGCCCGAGGACCTAGGGGCTTGGGGGTCTAGGTCCCACAATTGTGTGTAGTCTAGGAGCCTCTGCTACGTGTCGACTAGGCTCCCCCCCCTCCCCCTACTACGGCGGCACTCTCCTTCACACTGGAATCTGGAGTGTCCCACTACTTCTTCTGAGACCCCACTGCACTCACACTGCTTCCTCCACCGGTACCGGTCTCCCTAGCCGACTCGCCTGCCACAGTAGTCGCTCGCAGTACCACTGCACTCCCTTGTCTGGCTGTCCCGTCACGCTCCCTTACCGCCTTGCATATCTCCACGTTTTCCAGGAACTTGGTTGGTGTCGGCCTTTTTCAGAACCTTGACATCACCACCACGTTCCCTGGTCATGAGAGGTATGCAGCCTAGATGGACGACGCCTCGGGCACCCATCTTGCCACCTTTGACCGCGAACCTGCGTCTGGTCTCTTCACAATGCACACAGAGTCCGCCGAGGTAGTTGCGTCCACCCAGTAGCTCTCCTAGGTTAGTGCAGGTGTGTCTCCTCAGCAGCTCGGACTTCACGGAGGCCAATGTGTCTCTGTCTGCAGTAGCAAAGACCAGGTCATCTACGTAGACAAGGATGTAGAACGGAGTCTGGCTAGCACGAACGAAGAGCGAGGGGTCTGCACACAACGGGAAGAACTGCAGGTCAGCTAGCCTAGCACGCAGAGTGTCGTGCCACTTATGGGGCACCTGTCGCAAGCCGTAGACCGTGCGCCAGAGGAGCCACTGTGTCACAGGATCGAATGTGTCGAGGAAAGGTTGCACTATCGATCAGTACAAGGCGCTTTTATACTTCCAGATTACATCAGGTAACCAGGTTTATCTTATCCTAGGGGAATAGACCCTTCTAGAAGATAGAATCACCCTGCGTATAGCCACGCGAGGCTATTGGCTTTAAGGGATTACAGCAGGATTACGCTAGATAGAGCGCACCAGTACATCCCAAGCCTGGTCGGTGATATAATTATAATAGCAGGATAAACCAAAGGTTAATGGAAAAGGAAGAATAGGAAACCAAATGAGACGGAATAAAAGAGAAATGAAAAAGGAAGGAAATAAGAAAAGGCCAAGTGGTGTAACGGGGTCGTACTCTCACACTTCCCCCCCTCAAAGCTGGGTGGTAGAAGTAACACCCTGCTTGACAAGGTAGTCATGCAGAGGACGACGGGCGTTACATATGTCGGACTCAGGTACCCAGCTGTCCTCAGAAGGATCATAACCCTTCCAACGGATGAGAAGCTCCACGGTGCCATTCCGACGATGGCGGTGTGCGAGCACGGACTCGACCTCGTACTCGGGTTCATTCTGGACGAGGACGGGCGGTGGCGGCGGCGGTTGGCGTCCGACGAAAATCGTGTTCGGGCCCCGATAGGGCTTCAGAAGTTGGACGTGGAAGGCGTTGTGAATCTTCCAGGTAGCTGGCAGGCGTAAGCGGAAGGTAACAGGAGTGACTTGTGCTTCAACGAGAAAAGGCCCGCAGAAGCGAGGTCGAAGTTTAGATGGGAGATGGCTGATGTC